AAGTATCAGCCACCTTGGGCCTGCCCATAAAAAGCAAGTCTAGAGAGAGAGAGAGAGACTAGGGTGATGTCTGCTGTTTCCAGGAACTCTTCTCATTGTGAGACCTTTGTGGGTGAACTGAGAGTTTGTTTGGACCCTGGGTGAGAACCCAGAGGCTGAAAGGGAGGGTGCGTCAGTGTCCTGAACCCCTGGCCTACCTGGTGGCAAGTCAGGATGTCAAGTCCCCACTCCATGGTCAGTCCACATGTCCAAAGTCCAAACTGAAGCACAGTCCCACAGAGATCCTGGAGGATCCAAGCTGAGGTCCACCAACATGGGCAGTGGAGGAGACACAACACCTCAGCTGTGCTTCCCTTTTATACTTTGCCTGCTGGCTGCAGCATCTGGGCTTGACAAGGCATGGAACTACAACTCCCATCATCCATGACCACTGGTCCTGTTAGCTTGGGGTGATGGGAGTTGTAGTCCCAAAACATCTGGAAGGCTGAGTTTACCTATGCCTGTCCTAGAACACCCTGCCTGCTGCTCCCTATGCCTCAGAGCCGTGTTTGTGAAGACGGTTCCTCTGGCTCTGGTGATGGGTTGTGCTGCTCCAGTTCCTGTGCACTAACCCTGTGCACTGACTCTGCAATAATCCCTTGTCATCCTCTGTCACCCTATGAATACTTCCTACACCAACCTCTCCTTCCCCATTCCCAGCTTACCTCAGTCCTGGCTACACCCCTCGCCAGAATCCTCTTCCTCCTCTCTGCTGTCCTGCCAGTTCATGACAGTCAGAAGGAAAATGAACTGATACTGATTTTGATATATTAGTAATTTTGTATTTATTTAACATTTTCACATGTAACTGTGTTTTTTGTAATATTTTTAGCTTTCTGTTGTTGCTTCAGTTTTTTGTACACCACTTAGAGATATTTTAAATATATTAAGTGGTATTGAAATGAAATAATCAAATCAATAACTTGGGGAAAGGCTGTGGTTCAGTGCTAGACCCAACATCTGTAGCTAGGGCTGTGAAAGACCCCTGCCTGGATCCTGGACAACCGCTGCTTGTCTTCCATCCAATTTGAAACCTTGCTTGAGCCTGCTTAGCCTGGCTATTGTGCTAGCAGTATTATTACTGCACCACCAGGGAAAGTGACAATACTGATTTAGATGGACTGATGTTCTGACTTGGTACAGTCAAACCTCGGTTGTCAAACGTAATCCTGTGCAGCCTCTGAAATGTTCGACAACTGAGACGCAGCTTCCAATTGGCTGCAAGAGCTTCCTGCACTCAAGCAGAAGCCACGTTGGACATTCGGCTTCCAAAAAACATTCGAAAACTGGAGCATTAGCTTCCAGGTTTTCGGAGTTCGGGAGCCGAAACGTTCCAAAACAGAGCCATTGGGGAACCGAGGTATAACTGTATAAGCCAGTATGTTTCTGAGCACAATTCAAAGTGTTGGTGCTGACCTTTAAAGCCCTTAACGGCCTCGGTCCAGTATATCTGAAAGAGCGTCTCCACCCCCATCGTTCTGCCCAGACGCTGAGGTCCAGCGCCGAGGGCCTTCTGGTGGTTCCCTCACTGCGAGAAGCCAAGTTACAGGGAACCAGGCAGTGGCACCCGCCCTGTGGAACACCCTCCCACCAGATGTCAAAGAGAACAACAACTGCCAGACTTTTAGAAGACATCTGAAGGCAGCCCTGTTTAGGGAAGCTTTTAGTGTTTGATGCATCACTGTATTTTAATATTTTGTTGGAAGCTGCCCAGAGTGGCTGGGGAAGCCCAGCCAGATGGGCGGGTTATAAATAATAAATTTATTTTTATTATTATTATTATTATTATTATTATTATTATTATTGATAAATAGTTGTTCATTCATGAACCAAGTGCATGATTTAGCAGTCAGAATTCAGAGCGGCAGAATTCAGAGCAGTGCAAATTTCAAAGGATGACTGTGCTTCAGTTTCAGTAGGTTTGCCTTTAAATGTGAACTGAACAGAATATCCCATTCCCTCCCCTACTGACTTCAGCACTTGAAACAAGACACTGCAGGCCCACTCTGGGAGGCAAAGGGTAGGCTGCATGGATGCAAAGTGCTGTCCTTCAACATCTCCCAGCTGTTCTCCAACTCCCCATATTTGCTGCCTGAGGTGGCAGCCTTGCTTAGCCTAATGCTATCACTTGCTCCATCTGTGGAAATGGTCTTAATAACAGACAGAAAGATGGGGAATTGATAAGAACTCTTCAGCCCCACTTCTCCACAGTCCCTTTCATCACCGAGGCCGTTGCTCATAGTTGTGAATGGGGCATGCAGCGGCAGACCAGCTTCTCTGTTTGGGGACTGAGGGTGTGAGGTGAATCTGGTGGGAAGGAGTGGGGATTCCATCACTCACTCCTCCTGTGCCTGTCAGACTTGAAGAGCTTTTAGCTAGTAGTAAATATTGGTCAGAGCCAGCTTCGCTAAGAAGCTAATTGGATACAGACCATCCGCCTTTCTTCCTGCAACATTAATCTTCTTACTTAACAGCAGGTCATGATGTTCAATTAACTGAAGTGCTTTTAGTGTGTTCACCAGATGAGAAATATAACTAAATAGCTATTGTACACAAAAGACAACCAAATAGTGAGGCAGGTTAATCACCTCTACAAAGAGATTGGCTGGAAAGTATGAGCGAAGAGGTGAGGGAGTAAGAAGTTCCATTTGTATGAGTCTATCAGGTTCATCATGACCTGATTACTGTTTATGAAATGGTAACTTAGAGGGTTTTTCAAAACATTTATTTCATTAGTCATAGCCTAAACCAATATAACATTCATTAGTCACAGATGTCAGCAGTTATTAACAAGTTCCCGAAGGCATTTCCCCGTTAATATCTATTACGTTTATTTTTCATGCATTTTAATTTTACATTATGCATTCTACATTTAAAAAACAGCACAAAGTATTATAATGGAAGAAAGCTGGAACTTCGGTGGCAACAGAGAGGTGTTTCTTAATAACTTCATTTAAGCCCACTGAAATTCTGCACAGAGAGGTGCCTCTTTTGCAACATGGTTGAATTCTGTTATGCTGCAGAGGTAATATTACATAAAAATCAAGACAATGTGTTGCAAGGTAAAGTGATTACATGAGTTCTTCATAAAAAGAATACATTACATTTATATTATATGTAGTTTCCATATTACAAAACAAGATATGAGGAATTTTGCAACATAATTAGATCTTCTGTATGAACTTTATGTAACAACTCCCTGCCGTGTTTCAGCAAGAGAACAGAAATTTAAACAAACGCACAATCTGTTTTCATTGCTTATAATTCTTCTTCTTTATTGTTGAAAAATCTAAAATTATCCTATGATCCTATGACATGAGAATTCAGAAAGAAGAACATTGTAGATCAGATTATATATTTAATCTAATCAAAATGCTGCTAACTACTATGGATTGCAAAGTTCCATATGTTCCATAAGACCGATGTGAAATGGCTGTGCAGCTCACAGAGGGAATTCCCTGCTATTTTGAAGGAAGCAAGAAGGAACAGTAATCAATACTGAAAACAAGAAAAAAGAAAGAAAAGAAATATATCCTGCTAAACAAGGAATCCATGTTCCTGGAAAGGTATTTATCTAAAAGTCTCTTTCACTCATCCGGTTATTTCTTTTCCAGCCATAGCAGCTCTAATATATAGAGAGACAAAATCTTATAAAGAACTGTCATAATACTCAATCGGTCCTGTCTGCCTAACCCACCACTGCTTTCTCTGACCAGGAAAGAGAGGTCCCTCTGCTGCTTGGCTAGTGTTTGGGGGGAAGCACTGAGGAGTCACCTTCCCGACACTGCAGCCCACCTGGGTGACACTGGGGTGGGGCGGGGCATTAGCAACCTCAGGGCTATGTGGGTGCACATGCAGCAAAACACTGGAGTTGGTCCACTAGTGCATCTGTGGAGCCTCAACCCTGCTTCTGCTCTACTCTGCACCAGTGCTATTCAGTTAAGGGCTTCTCCACACTTCCACTTGTCAAATAATTGTAAAGTTGGATCCCTAAGGATCATCCAGTCCAATTCCCCGCAATGCAGGAATATGGAGCTGTCCCATGTGGGGAATGAACCTGCACCCTTGGGGTTATCAGCACCATGCTTTGCAAACTCTTGACATGCCTCTCTGCCAAAGCCAGACTTGCGTGCCAAAAGGCTTAATGGCAATGAGCTGTCTCAGTTGGGGGCATTAACGGAGGGATTATTGTCCCATGCCTAGAAAGCATGGGTCCTAGCAGTTTTCCCTTTGCCCCACTCCTTTCCCATGGAAAACCCACTTTGTAGTGCTAAATCGGAGCAAACATCAGTCAGGAGCAAACCTGAATTGCCGTTTGCTCTGATTGACTGCCAAAGAGCAGTTTTCCATGGGGGAAAGCAGAAATCTAGATTATCAGGTTATCTGTTATGCCTCACCATATTCACACTGAAGTATTTATTTTCCCCTCTTTAATCTGAAATACTGAAGCCATAAATCTGCAATGGGAATGTTTCTCCCCCGCCCTTGTTTTGAGATTAATATGTCAGGATCACAATAAGGAAGAATTAAATCTTGAGCACCCAGCTGAAGGCCAGCTTATTGGTCAATCAACCTTTCCATTTCCCATGTAGCCTCTTAAGGCCCTCTTAAGACTGAGACTTTGCCTGAAATGGAAATTTGCAGTAGTTATACCCCAGCCAGTAGACACAAAAAATAATTGGCCAATCTATTCATTTGCTGATATTTGAAATCTGACGTCTCAAAGCACATTTTAAGCATTAAATTACCAGTAATTTCATGCTGCAATCTAGAAAGGAAGAAATGGCAAGGAAACCAATCACAAGAACAGCCTGTCTTTGCAAGAGGTTACTATGTATTAAGCAGAGTTAAGCCCTGATTAAACATCTAATTGGCTTGAATACTAATGGTAAAGCAAGCCAACTGCCTTTAGCTCTTAGCTGTAGGAGACCAGAGGTTTCAGAACTACTTTGTGGGCAAAAATGTTTAGTTCACTGAAAGCAAAATTCACCAAAGTGCTTCCAAGTCCAGCAGAGAAAAACATACAAGATGTTCCAGACCCTCCGAAACCATCACCTCAGCCACCACCTCAACAGGTAGGCCTTCAAAACTGATCCTATTTACTGAAATGATCTCTGTGTCTGAATATTATTGACTTGACTGAATGCAGGAACAGCTAACTTTTTTAAAAAAATGCTTATTTATACTAAAACATAGGAGCTTCTGCTCAGTGATAGCCAAGGTTTGATCTGATTTTTATTTTGTGTTTTTTTCTTCACGTCACTTTATAGGATTTGCCATATGACATTTTTCAGAGCAATTTAAAAGCCACAAAAGGCCCCAAAGTGGCCTTCAACCCAAATATTGCAAGCAGCTGCAATCCTTACTTTGAAGTAAAGATACAACTAAACCTGGAGGTGGTATAATAATAATAATAATAATAATAATAATAATAATAATAATAAATTTTATTTATATCCTGCCCTCCCCAGCCGAAGCCGGGCTCAGGGAGGTATGATGACCTGACCAGGGTCATGCCAGTTATAATGTGGGATGAGGGGAATTTAAAGCACAGCATGAGTGAGGCAGAGGAAGATGTTGGAATCTTCCAACCCCAACCCACATTTTTCTCCTCAGCCATTTCTCTTCCTTAACTGGTTACTTCCTATCACAGAACCCAATGAACCAAGGGAATGCTAGGGAGAAGCAATAGAGAAGCGTACTGTGAGGATCTGTCACAAATTGCTTGGGTAGAGCAGGTTTTGCTGTGACTTTCCTTTTCAAGGAGTCTCAATTCAGAACACAGACCGTATTTTCCTGGCTAGTCCCTTCCATTATTTTCAGGGAGGCAGAAGCAGCCCTGAGAGAAGTTTCCCCAACCCCACTGGACTAGGATTTGGAAGGACCTGCTCAGCCCCAGGACATCTTGAGAAAGGGCCACTTCAGAGCCCTTGGACCTGTCACTCCCCAAACACTGGAGCCTTGGAGGAGAGGCTGTTGAGACACACCAACTGGGAAGCAGCAATTGTACTTCAAGGGCAGATGAAGTTAGGAGTGCCTGGTCCTTTATCTGCTAGAGAAACTCAATAAACCATTCTTGGCTTGTTCGTGTAGCACCCTGCTTGTGGTTAACGCTTAGCTGGAATGAAATATTCAACGCAGCAACAGAGAAATTAAATAATTATTTATTTGTCAGACAAATAAATGAGAGGCACAGTGGTATATGGTTACCAAGCTCTGGCCTGCCTCCTGCCATTATGGCCAGCACTTATATTCCCTTAATCCAGCCCCCTTTGCTCCTCCTGTGGCTGCCTCTGTCCCATCAGCCTGGTTGAAATTCCTATTGGCTGATTGGTATAACCAATCACAAAAATACACTCATATCCTCCTATCCTTATAAGGGAGACAAAGAGCTATATATAAATGACAAATAAGTAATAATATATCTTACATGGAATCTTAATTACCAGCTCACCTCTTGCCCTCCTTGCCCTATTGCCTTCTAAAACAAATGGTTAATCTTAAATTTTTATCTTAAACATATGTCAAGGATCTTGAGTTTCACATCAACATTGAAAGATCTCCTTCATTTGAAGGTTTCTAAACAAATGTCTGACAACTTATATATCAGGATTGCTCGGATGGCGTCTTCTTGTCTGGCAGGGGGCTGGGCTCAATGGCCCCTGTGGTCTATTCCAACTCTAGGACTCTATGATTCTATGAAATAAGAATCTAACATCTAAATTTGTTACTTTCTAAATCCTTTGCATAGTTACATTTAAACCAATATATTTAAGCTAATATATTTCATATATTATCATAGGTAACCTTTTAAAAGAATAAAGCTTCTCAAAGTAGAAAGGAAGGAACAGTTTACAGCCTCAAAATAAAATAGGAAATAAGCCTCTTCCCCTGTTCACACTCCCCCCCCTTCTCCAGCCAGTTGCTTGTTTTCCATGTGCTCTTGACCTTTTGTCCTGTGGCTCAAGTTTAAGGCACATGGTTTTATTTTACTATTTACTCATTCCTAATTATATTTATCTCTGCCTTTGTTATCTTCTGTAACATGTAGGGTCAATGTCCTGCTCTTAGTCTGTAATTTCAGCTTTTACGACTTTGAGAATTGTTTTCTGCTATAAATCAAGGGGGGGGCCCTTGTCTAGGAGGAAAACATTGCCAGTGTTAAACAGCTAGTTTTCTTGCCTGGCATGAAACATTTGAAAATCTAAGCCCATTTAATTTAGGAACCTGCTCAAATATAAGCCAATATATGCCTTGATTAAAAATGCAGTCTATATTCAGATGCCACATTCCCCCCTTTCAAGCTCAAGGACCTTGCTACCAAGCGTCCTTGATAGCTTGATCTTCATCATATTCCTGAGGTAAAGGCTCTATATAGTGCCATGATATGAGGTAAAGTTTCATTTGAAAATCATCTTGCTAATTGTACTCCTAAAACATGAGATGATACATGGCACCATACATAAAACCATTATTACTACCGTCAAGAAAAACAAGCAAGACAATAATATCCCTTTGAGTCCTGTGACATTAGGTAACCAATTGGTGAGCCATCCCATATCCCATCCTTCCCATGTTTGTACTGGGACATGTGCTATATTCTCCATCTTTGTGGCCAACACACGGATTGCCTCACCATTATCTGAAATGTTAAAGCAACAGGCATTCCCTGTCAAGTTCAAGACTCCACACAGGCCTCCCTGCCTGGCAAGTCATCCAACTGTCGTGCAATAAGTCTCAAACTCTGGGCCGTTGCATTGGTTACAAGTTCCACTACTGCTTGTAATCGAATTATTCTGTTTAGATTATAAATAGGATCCCGTGCCCCTTGTATGAGCTCACCAGGATTCCAGGAGGCAGGATCATAATAGGCTATTATGCGCTCTGGCGGCCAATCATCAGTACCGCTCCAACTTTGGGTACTTCCTCCTGCTATACGAGAAATATCAGCATTTCTTCGTGTTCGCTTGGCTGAACTAGTGGGCAAATCCACATTGGTGGTAATACCCATCCCAGGAAACAAGTCCCACTCCATTTGGAAGGGAGTTTCTTGTATGCCCATTCTCCACATATCCACCACAACCATCGGGTCTGAGGTTTTTGGTACGTGGAGTACAGAAGGCGAAATATCAAAAGAGGTAGAGAGTTCACAGTGCAGTATGTTAGATTGCCTTTTTCTGTCACAGTTATGTTCCATACCACTTTCCATGCATGAATAAAAGGAGGTGCACAGGGCAAGACATTCCGAGTTCGATAGGTAGTACCGTTTGCCCAGGTATGACTATTCTTAATATGATCCCAAGTATAGTGACAATGAGAAGAGCCTATCATGGTAGAATCAGCTGCATCTGATGATTTATGTACACAGAATTCCCCTTGTACAGGTATAACTCGTAATGGTTTAGTTGAGTTCCATCCGGGGAAATTCTGTATTTCTGTTTGGTGTGGTATTTCGCTTACCATACCAATGGCATTTAATGGTATCAGTAATAAGGGCATACCTCCCTCTGAATCATCTGGCCCAAGAGAGCAAACAAGGCAATTGGTCCTATTTGCCACATTGCCTACCATCTCAGCTAAGCCTACCCACATATTGTGGTCATGGCTGAATCCATATTTAGCAAATTTGGTCAGATTCAAGGACCCTCCCCCTTCCCAAGGGATCAGGATTAATAATAAAATCATGTTGATGTCTAGCATATGCATTCCTTCCACAAAAGATTACTTTATTGTGATAGCATAAAACTATTAGTCCCAATATAATTCCCCCAGTGACAGAAATGGGGAACCACCAAGACCAAAACATATATCCCAAGGATCCCCAATGTGTAATATCTCTAATAATTGTTCCACAGGGGGGCAGTCAATCAATTGTATAAGAGAATCTTCCCGCTCACAGTCGCTGGTTCAGACGCTCCTCAAGCTTCAGGCGTGCGCAGGTCAGCCAGCTTCCAGGTTGTGGCTGCAGCAGGCCGGTCGTCTAATGTTGCCCGTGACCTAGCCCGTTCCCGGTAGGGCTAGATACAGGGGTTTTTGGAGAGAGTCAGTTTAAGAGGATTAGAGGGGTCACCTTTGCACGTCCAACTGCCTTCGGACTTCTTCAAACGGGAGTGATGAATCCAGGGGGTCACCTCAGCTACCTTCACCGCTGTTGGAGTAGAGAGCAAGACGGTGTAAGGTCCACGCCACTTAGGTGCAAGTGGATCACGTTTCCACTCTTTCACCCATATGCTATGCCAGCCTGGAGCTGATGAATCGGCAGGCAATGCTGCACGGCGTGCGCTCGAGGGCCCACCTGTTAAGATAAAAAAACAACAACAAACAAACACGGGAGAGAGACAAAAACACGGGAGAGAGATTGCACTTGTCCCTGTGTCGCATGGTCTCCTATTTGTTTGAGGTCAGTTGGAATATCCTAAACAAAGGAGGGCGGCCTCCCATACAGGAGCTCAAAAGGTGACAACTTAAGTCTTTTTGTGGGTGCGCACCGAACACGAAACAGTGCTATGGGTAACACATCTACCCTCCTGAAACTTTAGACATATTAGTGGGCTTCTGGCATGCCCTGCAGATACCTTGCACAAGCATCTGGCGGTAGGTGGTAAGCCTGGCCAGGTGAATTGCATTGTTTGGATCCCAATTAGGATCTTCCAAGGGAAAGTTTTCCTGGAGATGACGGTCAATATTAAAAATATTTCCCACTCTGGCCTGCTCACGCAAATATATCTGTGCCTTTTCAATTATGTCTCTCCTTTCCTCAGTGGTGAAGAGAGTATTCAGGAGCTGGCGACAACCTGTCCAAGTAGGACTATTACTATTGAAGTCACCAAGTCCATCATAGCCTGAGGTTTTTCTGCGAAAGATGGGGTGTTTTCCAATTCATCAGATCCGTAGTTGTGAATGGAATGTACTGGAGGATCGAAGTTCGAGGTGGCCTTGGTCCAGGTTGCCCATTAACCAGCACAGGCTCCTCAAGTGCATCAAATACTCTTCTAAGAGGGGCTACTACGTGACCTTTCTCTTCGCTTTGCTCTAGGGGCCTCAAATCATAGGGGATGGTATCTGTCCCAAGGCG